ACTTTGTCTGAATTTATACACTGCAAAAACAGCATGCTGAGGTCTTCAGATTACAGATTCTTGAAGTCAGTTGAGATTCCATAACTAACAATATTTAGAGCTTTAAGATTCCTAAGAAAATCTGCAAAACTTCTTTGTATGAGTTAAGGGTACGCTACTGGTCTTTATCATGTAAATATTACCACTGAAGTAACGGGGACCACCAAGAGCTGATTAAAATGGAAACTTAAAATCCAAATTACTATTTAGAAATACTTTACTGTTTCTTTTAAACACATTTTATAACAGTCAGGGCACTGAAGCAATGCCTGCAGCAGAATACCACGTTACATTTATTCATGTATTTTTCCTGATGGGAGCATCTAGGCATTTGGTTGTTCAAAAAGCACAGAAAGTCAGTCATCAGACTGAATTTCACAACTCCTTTTACCCATTGGCCACAGCAGCTAAATTCTGGAGAAGGGTGAAAGGAAGACTGTTTCCTTAGCATGGGACACTGTTAGCCATAATGAGGAACTGAAAGCTTTATCTTCTGTGAGGGAATTGATCCCTGACCAAAGGTCACAGAATAATCTTGTATTTCATCCATTCATCTCAAATCCTGAAGAACTCCAAGTCTTGGGGAGTTTCACTGAATAATGATAGGACCTAAGTTACCCCTGTTTCACCTGAACCTGCACAGCCAAAGTACTTTGTCTGAGACAAAATATCATCTTAAATAACATATAAAATTACACAGCTATTGCAATTTTAAGTCTCAGACAGGAATACTTCCTGTCTTCAGTAAACATCAGTCTGGGTTAATTTCAAAAATCATTATCCTGACCTTAAAAAACAACTATTAAATACAGGAGTTGCACTGTATTAATAAGTTCTTTGTTCTTGTAACTAAAAACCATGTTACTTATTCTTAGTGATTGACTGAGTTATAAGATCAGTGCTCCAGAATGTGACAGTATTTTAGAAAATAAATTTTCTTTCTCCTTCCATGTTGCTGATAAAATGAAACAGTGCTACAAGCAAAGGCTATTGTTATTCACGTTTTATACATCCAATATATCTAACGTGAATTCTTGTTTTTCAGCTGATGATCAATGGATGATATCATAATTAATAATCCTTCAGTCCTGAGATCCAATATATTAATTTATTTCAAGTGTACTCTTTGCTTATTGTAAGCTTGCAAGTTCTGAACCCACCAAGTGCACCACAAAAAGAACTCTGACCTAAATCACATGTTTAAACTGAAAATGCACTGAAAATCAACTTGCATGCTTTTATAATAAACACGGGGAAATATATTACAAAGAAACTACAAATAGAATCAATTTTTGCAATACTAATTTAAAAAAACTCAAGTAACGAAAAATGTTATTGAAAAAAGAGTAAAAAAAAGCTAGAATAAAAAACATTTTTATCAAGTTCAAGAATTCTACAAACTACTCCAGCAGTGGAAACTTACCGAATAAAGGCAAAGCCTTCACAGAGCAGAGGAGGTAAGGCAAGAAACTTGGAAGATGACAGAACTGTCTACTGCAACCCAGAACTGACACAAATTATCTTTCATTGGTTTGTGTAGTCTGGAAGCTGCCACAACCACCACCCTAAACAAAACTTTAGCCATAATTCCATGAGATACAGAAAACAATCCAACACTCAACCCATCTAACACCACTTCTGTATGTGCTTGCATAAACCATTAATGTATTATTTGGACAAGATCATAAATATATTGAAAAGGGGAGAAAGCAGTCAAATACGCCTATATTGAGGAGTACGTTGTAGCAAAGTTTCATACAAATGCCTCCGTGCTCCAGCCCTTCCAACCATTAAAGGGAAAGAAACACAGTTTACCCACACATTTCCTGGTTTCAAAGACAGCGCCATGATAAAACCCTAAAGGGTAATTCAGATAAGTAAGAAACTCTAGTGCTTACATGCTTTGCTGGAAAAAGCACCAATATGCAAAGCCACAAACTTGGACAAGCAAGGGTATCGGTAACCTCTACTCAGTAACATGGAGAGTAGATTAAATTATTCCTTAGAGTTCAGGATTTACATGTATCACAAAATAAATAATTACTACCAGGTGAGGACTGCATAGCAAGACACATTCAGACATCATGTAAATACTCCAGTATGTTTCACAATATATATTGAATATGGAATCTAAAACAGGGCATTAGGCAACTAAAAAATAAATATAAATTTCCTTCATATCTATCAAACATCTGGGTTTATGACAATAGACTTTGCAGGTTTACAGTAATCGGAAGTCAGTATCACTTTGAGTCCCGTGAACTAGAACAGGACTGTTGTCCTGGGTTTCCAAGCACAGCAAGGGAATATTTAATATTTTAGAAATGTCGTCCTCATAACATTGTTATTAAAAACATCAAATACTTTTGAATTCATACTAGTTTTTCAAATGTGTTTTGTTTTCATTTTCTACTAAAGAAGTACTTGCAATACAAGCATTCTTTACAAACTGAAAGTGAGGCATGCTATGTGATTTCGATTTAGACACACCTTTCCTGTATTCTTAGGCCCAAACCATTCGACAGAAAAACAAGAGCTATGTTAGTTTGACCAGTGTTTTGAAATTACATCCACTCAAGGATGCATTTTCACAAGGCTTCCGCAGCTTCTACAGAATTCCTCTCTTCCCTTCAACAGAATGCAGATCGAACCCTCTGTTTAAAACTACTAACATTTGGGGGAAAAAAAATCCTAAAGCAAAATCCTCAGTGATTAAGACTTACATAGTCAAGCTACAAAACTGCATTTATAAATAAATATAAAAAAAATAAAAATAGAAAGATTTCAAAGTTATTGCTAACACACAAAAGAAAAATTTCCTTATCTTTTTCTTAAAACTAAAAACCCAAAGACTTACAGCTGCTGTAGTTTTCATTCCCCTGATAATTTTGCAATTATTCATCAGAACATGCAAGACTTCTACTGAAACTTTTGCACCAGAATAGGTTTGACTACAAAAGCACGGTTATCCAAAGTCTAACATAAAGGCAGTATATTGTTAATCTTTATAACTTGAAAATATAATTTAATAGAATCAATATTTTCACACAGGAAAGAAATAGTTATTTAGTTGCAGACGACTTGATAACATCTCTTTCAACTATAGTTATAATTATCATGTACAACTTCCAAAGCAGAATTTGTCAAGATTTAACACTAACATTAATTTATGTCAGGCATCCATTTCTCCAAAGACAGCAAGAACCGAAAACGAAGTATCATCTTAACTGCCACTAATCTACCCATTTTTAATTAAATTGATCAGCAATTTATTATCTTACCCAGTGGCAGAAAGCTGTTAGCATGCAGCTTTAAGAGACAGCATATAACTAGTCCTTCTAACTTCTAATACTATCATGATTCAAAAATAATTTAAATAATTTCTTTCAATTCCTGTAACTGCATGATGTGCACGTTCCATTTAAAACCTCTGTGAAGCACTTTAGAGCATAATCGCAGAATCGTTTAGGTTGGAAAAGACACTTAAGATCATCAACTCCAACCGTAAACCTACCACTGCCAAGTCCACCACTAAACCATGTCCCTAACTCCCACATCTACGCACCTTTTAAATACCTCCAGGGATGGTGACTCAACCACTTCCCCGGCCAGCCTATTCCACTGCTTGATAACCCTTTCAGTGAAGAAATTTTTCCTACTATCCAGTCTAAACCTCCTCTTACATAGCTTGAAGCTGTACAGCCTACGTGTACTGTTCTCCTGTTTCGTAGTCTCATACTCCAACACAGGCGTACGATCTTGGTTCTACTTCACAGGAACATGATTTTCCTGACAAAAATGTTTAGAAGATGTAAGATTCGACTCCAGCGTAGTTCAGGAAGCACTCTGCACTCAAACCACATTCTTAGCTCTTATCTGCAAGTTATTTTTTTTTAAACTGAACAGAGAATCAGGCTGAAGCTTTCAGGTTTGTGAATCTCAATTCTCATTTCAATGGAGGAAAGGTGGCTAGAAAATGTCCAATACCTGAACTGACAACTAGAAATATTTTTAGCTGAAGTTTCAGAAAGTAGTCTAGCAGTTTGATCAATAAATTAAATGCGTAGTTATTTTTTTTTTAAAAGCAATAAATATGATTTTCTGAATATGGTATTGTTTTAGTATTGTGCACCACAGTCACCAACACAATTAACAGGAGTAGACATAGCATGCTCACTCAAACTTTCTGTAAAACCTCTGGAGTCAGTGGGAGGTTTTCTGTTTATTTCAATGAGATCTGATTTAATTCCAGTGGAAAATAAAGTACCGCATGAAACATTTTGAAAAACAGAGAATAAATTTCAAGTGTTTTAGGAAATAAGCTCATTATCCCCCTTTAATCAGTTTTATAACTAAAAAGGACTGATGTACTTTTTTTTGCTTTTATGTGTTATATTGGAATATATTTACAGGGCTACCAGAATCAAAACTATCATTGTAAAATATTCTGCAATACTTTGTGAATGATCTGCAACATACAAACAAGTAACAGATTCTGGTTTACAGAGCCTAAGTGTACACAAATGGAAATGTCTAGACATTACTTTCCACACAATGATAAATGCACAAAACCCAAAAGATCTCTTATTCCAGTAATCAAGCAATGCATTATTTCAAATATGAAACAACATAAACATTTTATTTATCAATAATTTTTCCAATTACGTTTTCTGTAGTATATGTGAGTACCTGTTACAGGTATTATTGTTAAATAGAAACAAGGTTTTGGCTTGAAATGGGGATTAAGAAGTTCTGATTTACATTGGAGAAAAAGGAATAAAGTTACACTATATATTTACAGTGTCAGGAAGAACAAAAGAATAGAAATAAAACTTGTAAAAGTGTTCAAATTTTTTTCTCAAAGCTTTCCTTAAACACCTAAGTGGATCATTTACTTACATTCATAAATGAGTTAGCAATACAATTGCCCCCAAGTATTTCATTCCTCTCATTCAGCATACCTTAACAAGTTTTAAGAGGCGGTAAAGGTCTTCAACTTCATCTTCCTGACATGCGGTATACACTCGTCCAGTGTTTACACTGGTGCCCTTTATGAAACCACGATAGAGTGGCAAATCCAACGCATCAGCATATAGGTCAATGGCATGGTGTCCTACTGTCTGATACATATAGCTGTCCAATTCATCAGTCTGCCCTGCCACAATTAAGAAACAATCATATTAGGTACATTATTTCAACCAATAAAGATAATCATAATACTACAAAGCACTGAGAAAATCTAAATGTTAATAGTTTTCAGTTCGCAAACAGATGTTTGGTGACAATACCTCTATAAACATGGAAAGAAAAAAAAAAAGATTTCTCCACCCAACAGACATATGGAGAGGAAGACATCTGTCACAAACATGCTGCCTGTTTGAAAATTGTGCTCCCTACTTCTTCTTTAGTATTACTCCCTGCTTCATCCAAAAGTCTCATAACGGTCCAATTCTGCTCCTATTTATATGGTAATTTCAACAGAAACACAGTTTGGAGGCACAGATTCAGAAGCATTTCAACATACTCAGAGCAAGAAATTCGGAATGCACTGCAAAACTGAGAATAAGCAATAGGTTGTCAAAATTTCCCAAAACTTTACTGTTAAAATTGTTATCATGGTCATCAAGAAAAAAAATGATATTATTCTAGCTTAAGAGGAATAAAGTAGACCACTATAATGTTTTGACATTGTTTAATATACAAACAGTAAAGGAAATTTGTTGTAATATCCAGATCCTTTTTACCTTCACTCCTTTTACAAAATAAGCTTGAAATGACAGCCAGTATTTCCTTAGCCAGGTGAAATATTTAACTGAATTTTCTTAAAAGCACTTTGAAGCTAGCAGATAAGAAAAAAAACAGCTAAAATGCAGACATCATGGATTAGAACTAAATCTAAAACTATCTGATAAATCGTTCACGTATATAATCTTTTAGGTAATTTTTCAATCAGATTGATAAAGTAATACATCATTATTGGTGAAATCTCCACCTCACTTACTAAAAGCTAACACAGTGCTCTATTTTAATGCTAATTTGTAATACTGGAACTTCTCTTAATTTACACAGACACATCAAGCATATCTGCTGTATAACTATATAGCACATCTTGCAGAGAGAAAGGTCTGTAACATTGTCAAGCTAACTAATTTGTGATGTAACAGTTAGATCATGTCACATTTGATGCCACACAACAGATACACTTTTGCTCAAAATCGGCAAATCTAAACCCATGAACACAACTAACCAACCTAGACCAGAAGAGTTGCTTTAAAAGAAAACTCAGTGTTTTTCAACATACATGAATATGACAAGGTCTTTAAACTGATATTCAGTTCAGAATACACAGTTTCTTTATTAATTGAGACTCTCCAGGCAACAGTGGTACAAGATAAAATAAAATGAATGGCATAGAATCCGCTATTGCCTGAAGCACCTCAATTAACTTTCCACAAAATTTCCAACTACACACTTGAAGAGAGCATTTTATGATTTTAATGACAATATTCTACATTTGCGATGTGGATAAATTAGTTTAAAGACAACATATTTCAACAAGATTAGAGATTATTATATCCTAGCTAGCCAGAAAATAAATTATTCCTGTACTCCCTAGCATTTGCCAGATCCGTCCATGATTCATTTGTGATGGCAGCTCCCCTTTTCCTTCACTTTCTCCGTGTGTCTTCCCACAATACAGTTACCAGATATCATACTTAATCGTTTAACATACGTTGAACAGTTAACCTATGTTAACATACTTCAACATTCTCCCCTAGCACTGGCAAACAACTCACTTCCTTTTCAAGTCTCCTTGTGAGTTCAATTTATGCTCTAGTCCAACACAGAAGGACTCGGCTCACCCTCTCATCTCACCACTGACTTCGACTACCTAAGTTTCTCCTATTCTCTTTCACAGAAATAAGCTTAGGTGCAGCCTGTGAGGAACTGATCAGAAAACTGGTCGAAGCTAAAGGGAAGGAAAAAGGCAGGAAAAAGAAGTGTATCAAGGTCAATTCCAAACCAGATCAGGTCCTCAATCCAGTTCACAAATGCTGGGCTAGAGTAATGAAGACACACCAAGTTAAAAAAAAAATAAGCAGCAGCAAAACTGTATATTTTTGGCAGCTGGAATGGTTTATGCCAGTTTAAAGCATTTCTCGATATACAGTGTTTGTTTTGTTTGATGATATCCTCTACCACCTCTTACTACTTGTGCTACTGAACTCACACAATCCCTTTGTCTACCACCAGGAATATACGTATTTTTCCTCTTTCAAATTGTGTACGCCTTTCTTTTACTGATCTTCATCTTCTTGTGTTTTTTTCCCCTTCGAGGAAAAATACATTTAATACATCTCCACAGCATTTTCTTTTTTTTTTTACCTCTTTTACCATTTTTAGATTGCCCTTCAATACGCAAAACTATATACAAACATATAAAGGAACTTAATTCGGGCACAGCTTGCCTCCATTGTTTCTACTAAAAAAACAAAAACCTCCTATAAGAAATGTGGCTTTCATACCTGTGTTTTCAGCAGGTCTTAAATTGGCTAGAGCAACGACCTGATGCCCAGCAGCAACACACTGCATCATACTGTAACAGCTGTCCTTCCCACCACTGTAAGAAAAAGGAAATAGCGGCAATTAAAAGTACTGCTAAACATTTTACCCCTTGTGACTTCTGCCTAACTACTTAAAAATTAATATCATCAGAGGTGATTATAAAGTTTGGAAACAAAAAGAAGGTTGTAAAATATTAGCAGTAGAAAAAGGATGATTTCACTGTACGATGTTGCCTGTTTATGTACAGTGCCTACATACAGTATCCATAAAGCACATAGGCAGTTCTCTGCCTTCTTACTAATCTGAGATGTTTCATGAAGAATGGCCACTTACACTGGAATCCGCTTCAGAACAAGGGCTGCCTTCTACTCCAGAAACTAATTACTCCGTATCCATTACTAGATAACTTGGATTAAAAAAAACAGTATCTGCTCCAGAGAGTTGCCAGCATTAGCAATCTTTTTAAATGAAGACCATCATGTTGAGAATAACATTTATCCTTCATGGGATACTTTGACTCAAGTTTCAACATTTTAAACGTACTTCCCATTCCAAAAGCTATACTTACTATAGGCAGTAGGTTCAGTTGACGCTGCATTGAACATACAAATTTTTTACTGCATATAACTGAAAACAAAATTAAAAAAATGGAAAAAACAGAACAATGTTCTTCTCTGAGGCCAAGAGACGATACTCTAACACAGAAAATACAATTAATTTTGACACTCATTCAAGATCTATTGGAACCTTTTCCACTACCATTGAGGAGAGAATCCTGTTCTCCTGGTGTAACAGAAGTATAATATTTTTCATGGATTTTAATCACTATCAAAAGAAATACTACAGCCTAACAATAAAACTAAGAGTGCTCCAGAATACACATCGTTTACAAAATCCACATTCAGACTCACAGCCTTCAAACTACAACTACAGGTACAGATTCTGTGCAGCCGCTTTAAATGCCAAGGCACAAAAACCAGTCCAGGGCAGGAAAGGAACAGAGATCTAGACCAGCTCTGTGAAACTGCATCTTACCTTAGAGTCACCAAGACACGGACCAGAGAACAGATGGTACAAACAGTCCTTGCTACAACAGACCATCATTTTCCTCGTAACCACACTATTACTAACAAACTTCTTCAACATTTCCAACATAAAGTTCTCAGTTTGATCTAGCCCTCCATGCAAGAGCTTGAAAATGTGTTACAGGACTGTAACCATATAGCCATTCTCTCAATTTATGCTTTTATGCGTGCTAAAACTCTGTATGCTGACCTTAATTTGCTCTGTAACTCAAACCTAAAGTAGAAATAGCACAAATAACATGGCACCGCTTCATACTTAACAGATTTTTGTAAAGCAGTTGCTTATGTATCAGTGCTATAAAAGTAAATACATATATATGATCATACACATATTCCTAATTTGAGGTTCCATCTCCATCTGACATTCTCACAATTATTCTATGACCTTATTCCACAACTTTCTTTTAACCTATATATGCACCAAAAAAAATTTAAAAAATCATATGTTCATTAATTCTGGATACTGTGCTCAACAGCTTGAAAACGTAGTTAGTATTCACTTCATAATGTGAAATTTCAGGCTTAACAGAATCATAATGAGACAAAGGCTCTTTTCTTTCTGAATGACTTCATTCTGAAAAATAAAAGCCTTCCACTAGTTCTGATTTCAACTCCAAACACTACATCAGAAAAATAATGACAGTAGATAATTGCCTATGCTGTTTACAGCATTTCAATATTATATTTTGTTAAAAATAAAAAAATTACAAGGACATTAAGATAAATCAATTGATCTTTTCCGTTAATTTATATTAAGAAAAGACATGTTAAGATGAGGCTATATTCAGATTTCCCACATTTGACCACCAATTACTTGATCAAAATTTGTAGACTGGTCACTGGATCACATGCTACTCTACTGTTATTTATTTTCTATATTACTGTTACCATGGCCCTAAAAACTAAGCATACCACAAAACACAACAAAATGGTGCCTTCCTACAAGGCCTTCTAACCTAGGTGTAACACCTGGCTGTTAAGACCAGTTAAGACCAATAGAGCCAGACAGCCCGTGCTGTGGGAGGAAGGTGAACTCAGCACAGTCCCAGCCTGGCTGTTGTCTAATAGATTGTAACAAAATAAAAAGAAGAAAAAAAGCTTTGATAAGAGACATGAAGGCAGGTACCGACATAGCCTGGGGGCTCCTCTCAGTTCTCATCACAGAAAAAAAAAGATCACAAGGCCTTTTTGTAGAAAACTGTATGAAGTCGGACCACAGTCAGGGTTAGCTTTGACAATGTTGCAGGTGTGTTAACAGGTAGGCTTATGAACAAACAAAATAGCGGAAGAAAAAGAAAATATGGTAACCATAAACATCCAGGTCCATAAAAGACTTCTGAGCAAAACTCCTTTCTATTGACAAGTGAAACTATTTAGAGGAAGAAAATTCTAGAAGAATTAAAGAACTGAAAAACATCGTATTTCAGGTAGAAGACAGGCTTTAAAATGTCATGATTTAGCACAAAACACAATAGATGGTTTACCTGGTAAACATCACCTTAAAGCAAGACCATCAACTTTAAGTGTGGACAACATTTCAGAAGAAAAAGAAATGGGTTAAAGTAGTTTTATACATAATCCTGACCTTTTCAAAACCAAGAAGCAGTTTTCAAATACTTTTTTTCCCCCCTCTGATCTTTGAGGCTAGCTCTGTTACAAGTATTTCAGACACTTTGATGTCTCTTTAAAACTCTTCTCAAAACTACTACTGAAACTAAATCCTTCCTTGTAAAAATGCCCATTAAAATAGCAATTGTGTTAGAAACCTGGTTTTAGGATTTTGTTTCATCCTGCCTTTTAACACATTCTTCTGCTTAGGGAATATCAAAATAAATAAACCTGGAAGACAAAATCTTGTCTATAAAACAAGAAAAAGTACCAAAGTGGATTTTCCTACCCTTAAACAGATCTTTAAAAACGTAAATAACATTTGCTGTATTTTTTCCTCTCTGGATGATGTTTGGAATGATCTGCAACCATTGCGGCCAAACCCCAATTTCAACAAGGTTTGGTATTGCACATTGCCTGAGAGAATTTAATACATTAAGTGTTAAGACTTCAATAAATAGTTACTGCACTCAGCAACACACTGCGCGCATCCGCACACTCCTTTTCCATTTACAGGCTTCTCAGCTTGTTGTTTTCTAATTAACTATTATTTCTCAAGAAAAGAACACACCTGTCCTTGTCAGAAAAGGTAAATCCTTCAGAACAAAAATACAAAAAAGCCATTTACAGTACAAGAACTGCAGAAACTGACAAAAAATGGGGG